TATATTAAATATCTATTTTATATTAATGTATTTATATAAATATCTTGTATTTTTATTCTGATAAGAAAAGTTTACTAATAATCTTTAATAAATAAATATCAATAAAGATAATCTGACCTTCAATTAATTAAACTTATATATATTTCTTCATAATTTAAATATAATTAAACTGCCTGTTAGCAAATATTAATTGTTAATTTAGTAATATATAGATTAAGCTTAATGATATTTAGAAGAAATATATAGTAAATTGGATTTGTAAAGAGTAGATTCAGTTAAATTAACAGATGTAAAAAATTTGTTATTTATTATAACATTTTTAATTGAAACTTATAAAATTATTTATTAAATTAAGGAAGTGAATAAAAAATTTAGGGATGTTAAATGGTCTTAAATAGTCCTAAAAGTTCCAATAAATTTGCTAGTTCTAAAGAAAGTTTTTATTTTACTGACAATATATTTTTACATTCTAATAATGATGTATTAATTAAATATGTATTAAAATATATATTACACTTATACGAAATTCAGAATCTTAATTTTAAAACTTAGGATCTAATCCTAAAGACTGAATCTTACATTAGCAGTCCCATAAAAATTGTTAATTTCAAAGTTTATATTTTTTTAAAAGTTATTTATAAATTAATTATAACAATTTTTTATCAAATGTTACTTATTATTGATAAGCAATTAGACTTTTCTATATCTCATAATTTCTTAATTTATTCACAATTATTTAGCACTATTTAACATTCCTAAAAAAAATGTATAAAAAAAGATATAAAAAAAAATACTCTAAAATATATTTAAATTAGAATTAATATAAACAGTTCATTAATTTTTATTTAATTTTATTTAAATAGTATTATAATATTGTTATTTATTCTAAAAAAAAAAGGTTAAAAACTAAAATAAAATTAGTTTATTTATAATATTATTACATATTTAATTACCAATCATTTAAATACATATACTATATTAGTTTAATTATTCAAAAAATCTAACATTATATAAAAAGAAAGAATATTAGAAATATTTTTTAATTAGCATATATCTCATTTATTTTAATTTATCTGTTAATTTGTTTAAGTCTAGTTTTTTATAAAATAAATAGTTTAATTTGAAAAAATAAAAATAAAAATATTAATAAGTAGTTTTTTTAATGAAATTGATACCAATTTTTTTATACTTAAATTCAGTTTATTTAATTGTCTAAGTCTTTAAAACTATAAAAAAGAGATTTAATATCATAAAAAAAAGGTTAACTTATAAAAAAATACAGTGAACTCTTGATATAACGAATTCTATGATCTGGATATCAACTTCGTTATAAGCTTATAATGAATTTTTTAAAGAATTTAATTGGCTACTTCACTATAGTAAGGTAATTTTAATATATTTGATTTAAAAATTCGCTATATCAAGAGTTCGCTATATCAAGGTTTGACTGTACTTTTTTTTACTAAATAATTAATAGTATAATATATTTGTATTTAGTATTACATAAAATGTAATTTACTATATATGCAAAATATATACAATTTTATGATATTATATATATACTTAAAATACATAATATTATATATAGATTTACATACTGCTCTTATATATAAATTTTATATTAAAATTATTAATACTTATTTTGAATTTTACAATATATTAATATAAAAAAACTTTGTTTATATATATTTTTTCTAAATCAAAATCCTTTAATTATAATATTTTATATATTATAAAAATTGGTAAAAAAAAAATTCTTAACAAAAAACTTCAAATATATTTTCTAATAAAATATTTTAGGAATTTTATAGGCTTTTTACTAAGATTACTTTGCTTTAATTTCTTCAAAATTCTACAATTAATTTTGGTAAAATTTTAATAGATGTTTAATATAAATTATTACAATTTCTTTAATTTTAACATTTACTTAATACATTTTAAATATTTAAATAGTTAAAATAATGAAAATTATTTTGACTATTAAAAATAATGATACGTATCAAAACCATTTTTTATTATTTTAAATTAGTTTACATAATAAGATAATTATCAAATAAAGTATTACAAAAATTATGTAATAAAATAATTAATTCAAAAATATAATAAAATACTAGTATATAATGTAATAATGATTAATTAATATTTTTACGTAATTTTAAAATAGTAATTTTATTAGTAACTAAAATTAAACATTCCTATTAAGATTGTTAAATAAAACCTAAAGTTTAGCCAAACGTCTAAATGGTAAATATAAAACTTGATTAGATTGTATTAAAATCTTATTAAAAAATCTGCAAAATTTGAAAATAAGTAAAATTATATCAAAGTTTATAAAAATGGTGAAACTATATTAAATATTTAGTAAAAATTTAATAAAATTAAACGTTTAGATATTAGTTAATCCAAAATGAGTTTAGATTAATTTTTATAATAAAAAAAGAATATTTTTTTCAAAATATATGAAAAACAGTTAATAGAAAAAGGAAATCTAAATTTTGGTCAAAATTTATATTATTGAGCCACTTGGCTATTCTTAGTCATATGCACAAAATTAGCTTAATAATTAAAATTAATAAAAATTTTAAATTTTCATCTTTTCTACTAATTGCCTTACATATGGTATTTTTTTTATATTTATCTATTTTAAAAATTTTTCTTTTTTATATTTAGAAAATATATAATAAGTAAATATTTTAAAAAATATTAAATTAATATATTAAGATTAAAGATGCTTACCAAAACTCCCTCAAAATAATTTTGTCATATTCCTTACTATGTTTTTAATATAGTTTCAGTTAATTTCAGGTTTTAGGATTTTGTCGTATCTTTTACTATGTTTTAATATAATTTCAGCTGTTTATTAATTGCTTTTTTGGGTTTTGTCTTTCATTTTTAACTAAAATATAATAATTCTAATTTAGTAATTAAATCATAAGTTACATATAGTATAAAATTTTATTATAGATACTATAAGTTAAAATTCAGATTTTAGCTATAATATAAAATTATATTACTTTTATAAGAATTTTATTATGACTAAACTGTTAAATATGATAATTAATACGTATATAAATCTGATTGATTGATTTATTGATTGATGTTAATACTGTATCATTAAGAATATGTAAAAATAAATAAAGTCAAAAATTAATAATAACTTAGCTTTTGCTAATAAGGTTATAATAAATATTATTTTATATATTATATTATAAAAATATTTAAATAAGTTAAAAGTGATTATTTAGGATTTGATAGGTTTATTAATCAGTAATAATAAGATTACATTGCAAAACATAATATTAGCTAATCAAGCTAGGTAAATTCTTAAATAAATATTATACCAATCTGAATTATCAGATTTTAGTAATAATTACTATATAATTGTTGGTAAGAATAATTATGATACTTACTTATTATGACTTAAATTATATCTCTATTTAAATTTGATAGTATTTTTGATATTTATACTTAATTTGAGCTTTTAATATATCATTATTTAGTTATAATATCTAGATAGCATATCATGAGATTACAATTGGTTGAATTTAAAGTATAAATATTACTAAGCATCTTAGATTGGTTTGTTATTAAATTCATAATATATATTGGATTGAATTGCATAAGTATAAGATTAGCATTAGCTACTTTTACTTCTATAATAAAAAGTGATAAATTTTAATATTTATTTTACTTTAATCAATATCAAAATTTTATTTTTATTATGTTATTTTACATATGATTTAGAAAAATCAAGTTTTGAAACTTTTTACCAAAATCAAGATTTTATCATATATTAATGTATAAGATATAAATTAGTTAAAAGCGAATCACCATTTCATTTAAGAAACGTGTTAAAAAATAATCCTCGTAAATGGAAATTGATAATCATAACAAATATAACCTGATCATCTCACCTGAAAATAGCATGCAAATGCAAATCAAACATCAGGAGATTAAAAAACTTTTAATTATGAATATTACACGTGATCTTGTATTTTACGCTAAAAAAGAACTCTTCTTACAAGAATTGATCGGTTACATTATTTATATTATAAACTATAAACGTTAGAATATGCATTTTTTCTTCACCTTTTTTTATTTTTTTTTCGTTTTGAAAATTTAAAACAAAAAATATAAAATAACAATTTAAAATCAACAAAAAAGAAAATTTCTTATTTTCCGATATACATATATATATATATATTAATATATATATGTATATGTAAAATAAAAACAATTATAGTTATAATCCCCACCATAAATAATAAACATAAAACTAAATAATCCTAAAAAATAATGAATGAGATTAAATATAAACAAAAAAACAAAAAGTAGAAAGGAAATTTCTTAAAGGATGAATGGTAAACCGACCCGGATCAAGATACCAATCAATGGAAAAACGTGATGGTGGGTTGGGTGGGGAAAAAATTTTTTTTTGTTTTTAACGGAAAAAAAAAATGCTATGATATATATATTTATATATTGCTTTAAATACAAGTGAATTGATTATTTCGATCCTGGCCAATAATAGTCAATAAGGATAAAAAAAAAAAAAAAATTGTCAATTGGATGATTAATACGAATAATTTATGGTAAAATGTACATATATCGGAATAAAGAAACGATTTAAGGAATCGTGTACATTGAAATTACATCCGGTTAAAAAACAAAATGATGGAAAAAAATAATACAGTTTCTCATCTTCCTAAAATTAGGAGACAAGAGAGCAGACAAATATGGGAATAAATTTTCGAAAAAAGAAAAAATCATAATAATACACGTCGTAAAATAATACTCTAGAATATTCTACTTTTGGTTTTGATGTGTGAAATGATGAATGATATATATAACATATATATTATGGCGTCTGATATCATGTCAAAACCAATATGAAAAAAAAATATAAAGTCCTTTGATTCAGAGCGCACACTAAGTTCATCTAGTTGATATTATTTTTTTTTATAAAATGAAAAGTAATGTTAATTATGGAAAAGCTCGATCTACAACTCGTTAGGTAAGAGATAGTCAGGTCCACGGTATAGAGCCAGAAACAATCCAGCAATAAGGAAGAAAATAAATCGACACCATCTCCATATCGTTCTTAGGAACCTTACTAAGGCTCTTGCCCATCTTCGCCAGAACCATGCTCTTTGTTGGTTGGCCTTTTCGTTTTCTACATCGAATTCATCCAAGAAACTAAATTCATCATCTGATAGGTAATCGAGCGTTAAGTTATCGAAATTATCATCATCCGGTCGCGCGCCACTTGAAATAAAGAAATCTTTGAGATCTGTCTCTGAAGATATCGGTGAGAAAGGTGGTGATGTATCACTTTCACCGTTACCCTTCTTTACATCTCGTTTGAACATCGTTAGTTCACGGAACCATTCGTTTTCCAACTCTGAAAGTAAAGTCTTTCTTATTGAAGAATCTTGACTATTTTGTTTTGGTGCGACACCAAACATAGCACGCATCCCATCAGGGTCACTTAACCTTCTTATAGCTTTTGACATAATACTACCATCAGATACGGAATTTGCACGTGAGTTCTTCTGTGTCCAAATTCCTGAACGATAATTTACAACCAAGGCACGTTGTTCCTCAAGACTTTCGCTAAGTTCAGAAATTATTTCATCTTTTCTGAGATTATCAATTTGTAACATCTCATAATTATCTGTTGTTTGTAATAACTCATTGAATTCCATTTGAAGCGTTTCCAATTCCGCTGTTAAACGACTACACCGTCGTTCAATCTCCGATTTGGATCTTTCAAGTAGGATATTTTGATCTTCCAACTCTTGTACTCTTTGAACTAATGCATCAATAATATCATCGTTATCATTTGATTTTTTATTATATTTAATATTCCAAAATTCAGCCTTTTGCTTTTGAACGAGACGTTCGTTTTCCCTTTCGAGGTCTTCAATTTGTTGTGAGGCCATTAAACATTCATCTTGGAAATGTTTAACATCCGCTTCAAGCTTACGAACTTTGGCTTTATTTGACTTATCACGATCATTATTATCTCTTAACGCATCGTCTAATTGCTGATGAAGTTCTTGATTTCGTATTTCTAATTCCTTAATATTTTCAAGGTCCTTATAATTTAAGCCTGAATTTTGATGTTCGCGATTCTTTCGTTTAAATGGAGCTTCACCCGATGCTAGAAAGTCATGAGAACTGCTCCATGCTTGAAGTGATTCAGTATCACTTTCGTCAAATTCCATTGGTTCTTCCATAAAAGAGGTATTTGGTGGTGCTATCGGAGTCGCATGTTTATCACCAATTTGGTGTTGTATTGTGAAAGTTGACGCTTTTGTTCGTGCTCTTTGAAGATGTTGTAATTGGACTATGGTAGACTCATATTTGGACTTTAACGCAATGTTATTTTCAAGAAGGCTTTTACCAATTTCTGCGGCAAGCGTAAGATCTATTATAGATAGATGAAAATAATAAATTTAATGAAAGGTAAGCGATTAATAGCTTATGAATAAAACACAAATATTATACGACAATGATACATCTTAATTAAACCCGTAATGCTTTCATAAGCTTACACCATGACAAATGCGCTCCCCCAATAATAATAATTATTATTATAAATATCGAATAATTTTAACAAATAATTTACCTTTCTCTCTATCTCGTATTACGCCATAGGCTTCTTTTAATAATGATGTAAGCTCAGCATGAGATTTATTGACGTTCCAAGAGCCCGAGATAGTTGGTGAAGGTGGAACCGAATCATATTGCCTAGGGGAATTAAATGCCGATGCTGAGAATGATGGGGACGGCGATGAAACCGGAGAACTGACATTTGAATAAGGTGGAATATCAACACTTAAATTCGCATTAAGACGTTGTGTTTGTGGTGCCGACATCACCATCTTTTCGATATTGATGTCCAATAATAATGATTAAATTTTTTTTTTTTTTTTTTTTTTTTTTGTTTTTGCTTTTTAAGTTATTTAGATAATTGTAAAGTCGGTTCGCAAATGCGTTTGTTGAACTTGAATATTATAAAGCGAATAACGATGAAAGATTCCGTCGAGTTTGAATATTAAATAAATATTACTAGCAAAGAAAGAAGAGTAGGAAAAAAAAAAGGTTTAAGTATATTAAATACCGAAAATTGTTGTTAAAGAAAAGGAATACTTTTGTTGGAAAGTAGGATGAATAATATATATATATATATATTATTTTTTTTTTTTTTTAAACTATAAACAAATTTATATTTGCTATTGTAAAAAAAAAATTTTTTTTTTCTCTCCACTTGCCAGCTACCAAATAATCAAACTATTTCTCGTTAATTAATTAATTTACGGGAAAAAGTTCGTCAGTAGAGAAGAGACAAAAAAAATAATAATAATAAAAAAAAAAAAAGAGTCAAAGATGCTTCTTTGACCGGAGTTGGGATTGTACTGGGTTTTGATGCTGTGCTCAGAACAGAAAAGCCCGTTTACACACCTGTTCGTTGATATCCCCTTGTTTTCTGTTGTAGTTGAATTTGAATTTAATATATTGTATAATATATTAAAAATATATTAAATAGTATATTTTTAATAAAGGAAAGTTCATTAAAAAAAAAAAAATTTGTAAAAAAAAAAAAATGTTGTGTATATGTTTATATGTGGGTATATATATATATATATATATGTGTATATATGTGAATGATTGTTATAAAATGTTTATGATATCATTATGTATATGTTGCTTCATTCTCATGTGCTTCCGTGTGAAAATGAGAGAGTAATCGGATAAGTGTTCAAAACAATAGTAACACAAATGACCACAAGAATGTGATGCAGAAGACAAAAAAAAATTCACATCAATCATCACCTGGATGTGGCACCACAAACAAATAAAGGTAGCAACCTAGATCTACTTATGCTTAGAACGGTATATCATCCCATGTGTTTCATAAACACGCTGCTCGCTTGATGATGTCTATTACTTTTTACCAAATTAATTACTTTAAAATATACATCCTTTGAGCAAATCCTGAAATCTACATGCATTTTACCGATTATACAACAAGAAAGCATACCTAGCATGCAATTAACTAATACGTGGGAAATGATAATCATTTAAATATTTAAATATAAAAAAAGGTAGGGCGGTCAATTTCATTACGCGTATTTTATCTGCTTTTAGCAGTGCTCCAAAGAAATGCTCCCTTGAATGACTTTGAATGAGATGATGTTTTGAGAATTTCGATCGGATTGGATGAACTAGTGGTCAGACTTGGGGCACATTCTTCTTTGGCCTGTTTCGGAAAATTTTATGGAAATACCTTTTTATTGCGAGAGCCATGTTACGTGTTTTGGTTTTATTTGTAATGGTCAGTGCATTCTTCCCCCCTAATATAGATTGAAAGGCGTTGGTAAAGGATGAAAGGAAAAATTGATTTGCTCATTCGTCATAGCATAGAGCAAGAGAGAATCATTTATAAATGAATAAATACCTAGTGTTTTCTATTACTAATGATTAGGAGAAATTCTTAGCAAACATATGATGATTTACATGTACAGAGTACATATGTGACAATTTTTTTTTTTTTTTTTTTGACAAATGTAAAGTTTGAAAAACTTGTTTTTACAAACGAAAATTTAATCCGGAAGAAAATTTAAACTTTTTAATATATCTATAAATATTTGTTTCATTTTCCTTTGAACGTTCTAACCAACACATCATTTCTATTTACCAAAAATTTTTTTTTTTTTTTATCCCATAACATCAATGAGAATGTTAAGAAAAATAACCCCACAAAAATGACCGAAAAGAGTAGAGTAACTTTAATTCTTGAAATTTTTAAGTTCACCCCACAAAAAAAAAAATAAAATAAAACAACAATATCTTCGTAAAAATTAAAAAATTTTACAATTTTTTTTTTTTTGATCCATCTTATCAGCAAAAAAAATTCCTTCTTTGAAATTTTAAATCTCATATTGTGTTCAGTTTTTTTTTTCGGTCAAAAAAACAATCGAAAATCATGTAATTCAACTGTGTTTATTTCTTAATCTTTTTTTTTTTTTTTTATGGATTAGCTTATATTTTGAGCTAGCCATTTTAAATACCCAATTGAGACACAAAATATGAATTTCCCGAATTTTAATAATTTTCCCGACATTTCCTGTATTTATAGTTGAAGATCGAAAAAAAGAACTGAATATTAATATATATATATATATATATTCCCAGGATTAAAAATAACCTGATAACCATCTAAATTTAAATCAAAGTATTTCTGAAATTAAATTTGGATTATCCTTTTTTTTCTCATCTACTTTTGAAAAAGAGATTAAATTCTCTTATTAAATTCTTTATAATTATTAAAATGTTTCCCAATTTATGGTTTGAAATTTTTCAACAATTATAAACATTTCATTACCAAAACATCAAAGTTTAGGATTACTCTGCTATAAATGGTAATGCATGCAGATTACCAGAAACCTCGGTTTGTTCTAATGAACTTTATTTAAGTTTAGCTTAAAAGAAAGGCGAAACCGGCATGAAGGGAAAAGGCTATTACAATCTTTGATGAGAAATTTTATTTAGCGGAAACTGTCGGGTAAATTCCCAACTGATACTTTTGTAGTATCCTTTTGGGAAGATTCAAGTATTTTATGCAAGTTATCATTCTTGCTATCATTGTGGTCTGATATTTAAGACCCTGATATTTTCTCAATGATTATCAATTTTAATTACACTTTAGATGAAGATAAACAAAAGTATTCTCGTTATACCAACTTCGTTGAGATTAACATTGCAATGACGCTATAAGGAAATGTAATACTTAATATGCCGACTGTTTGTTGTTTTAATTATTACTAATAATGTTTATATAATTACATATATTTGTTAAACTTATATATAAAAAAGAATACAATAACATTATGATCAGAAAATTTTTTATAAATTTCTTAAGGATCGATCTAAAAAAATCAAATTTTATCATTAAATGTTTAATTACTTTTATATATATAAAATGAATTTATTTCCGTTATTATGAATTTTATAGTAATTGGGAATCATAGTTTCTAATAATTATTTTTAAGAAATTAATAATATATACTTATTTAATATTTTATATAAAAATTTTGTAATATCCATAAAATCATTGAAGACAAAATACAATTTATATGAATGAGATAAAATTAAAAATTTATATACATGATACTGACACGTTTTAGATAACCAAATCAAATTTGAATGAGGATTACTCGAAAATCATACATGTAAAAAAAAAGAATAAATCAAGTCTTATCACTAGTTTACCCCACAATTTTTTTATGTATGAAATTTATATAATTATATTGAAAAAAGAAATATTTAAAATAAATATATACAAAAGGAAAGGAAGATAATCAAGATTTAATGCAAGTTTTGAAAAAGAATGAATGAAAATCGGTTCCGAAAAACAAAAACGGTAAGTTATATAAAGATTCCATAAAAAGTAATTTTTGCTTAGCCACAATCTAAAATACGCCGTAAAATATCTAATATTTAATGAAAATAATGAGGAGGTAATTTCGAAAAAAAAAATTTTAAGTTTTTTTTATTGTAGGGATGGGATGTAACAAGATAAATCACTTATTTTTGTCCTTGTATTACAATCATAACGAATTTTGTCAAATTTACCGATTAGTTCATTTTTCAAGGGTTGCATACAAATATATGACAAGGGTTCCTTATGATATATATGCAATGCACCAAATTTGCATTTACCTGACCAATTGTTTCACTTTTGACAAGGTTTTCTCAATATGCAATGATATAATAATTCTTCAAAAGTGTTCTTTATGAAAGTGTTTTAGAGATTGTTTCTTTCTTTATATCATTTAATGGAAATTCTTGTTATTGTTCATTTAATTTATCTTTTAGATCAATCCATCACAAAAAAGATTTTTGAAGTTCTAACATTTAGAGTTTACAGAAAGTTTCTTTCTCTAAGGGAAAAGGGATTAAGGCACGGATCAAGTTGTTGCGTTACACTCAATGATCAGTAAAAAGATGTAGTGTGATGTGCTAACAGAAACGCCCACAGCATAAAAAAGAAAACTTTTGCGCACGCACATTTATAAAACTAATTTAGGTGTGAAAAAAATAAACAAGTGAATTTTGAGTGATTTATAATATCATCTCAAGAAATTAACGAACTTATTTTAAAAAAAAAAAAAAAAAAAAAAAAAAAAAGGTTTTTCATCGTCATCCGACTTGTCTTTTGTTTTTTATCCAATGAAATATATTCACATTTTGTTTTCTTTTTTTATTTTGTTAATTCCGTTTAGAATGCGAAATCCATTGTTCGATGGTGTATCATTGTAGATAATTATGGAAGAGATTTCTCTTTTCGTGATTTCACATTCCTGTTAATCATCACATGTGAAAAAAAAAGATTTTTGTTATTGTATTTTGTAGAATCTTATTTATTTAGTTTGTCGTGATAATATTATTTGGGTGTGATTGTTTAGAAATGTTTATAGCGAACGAACCTTACCAATTTTGCGTCAATGAATAATCTATTTGGTTACGATCTTTTAGAACAATGGATTTTTTTATATCTATATATAAAAAACTCTTGAATCAAAGAGCTTGAAACAAAGAAACCGCTGCGGAGAAGCGTATTCTGAGAAGTATTTTGATTCGGTTTACAGACAACCATAACTTGATCATGAAACTATAATCTTGTAATAATAAGGGTGTGAAATTCAAAATCGTAAAATTCTAAACCAAATGTATGAATTATTTTCATTTATTGTGGGTTTATTTAACAATATTAAGACATGACATTACATTTCACATACATACGTACATTCCGCATATGATTACAGTTTCTTTTTGCAAAAAGTGAAAATTTCACTAATGATAAAATAAACTTTTTTCATACGAAAAAAATATATTATAAGAAAACAATTGCATATAAAATATGAAAGTCATAATATTTAAATTCGATTCACCTAATTTGAAGTTATAGTTAACTTACTGTAAATGATGCATGATGAATATGAAAGTTGTGTGGAAATTGAAAAGCCTTGCAATTATCATGTTCTTTTTGATGAACATGTTTGAGAACAACAAGCAACAATAGGATAGAAAAAAAGAAACAATAGGATCCATCTAATTGTTCATGCGGAATATGTGATGATTGAACTGCGGTTTATGTGGCAAAATAATGTTATCTTTCATATCTTAGCGAGAAAGAAACCACTTATTATTACCCCTAACATAGACCTTTTCTGGTTTGGCCGAAGTTGCGCCTACTTGAATTTTCTCACTGGTTACCCCCAAAAAGTTTCATCGGCCGACAAAATTCTCGTAGTCCTTATGACCAATACATATCAAATATAAATAAAAAACATTATCTATAGAACATCAATTTCCTTCACAACATTGGATCTTTCAAATGTTCACACAACATAATGACAGGCATCACAAATAAAATTATTATTTATTTATTTTTTTCATATCGTGCACCGACCAAATGCCTTTTTCAACGGATAATTTCTATTTAGTTAATTACGCTAATCTAAAGAAAGTGCAAGGGCGTTTTTTTTTCAAAGGTTCATTCTCAATCAAAATTAATCATAATCTTTCTTTTTGTGTAATATAATGAATGGTAAAGTTGCACTGAATGTGATTTTAATTGAGCGTCGTTCAAATGATTTGATGATTGTTTATTACTTATATAATTATATGAAACCCAAATTCACGTAATTCAAACAAAAACCTTTACGGGACAGGTTTTATTTATTTTCCCTTTCACATTTTTAAAGATTAAAAAGATTTATAATATGTACCACGTTGCTTTTAACTTACCAGTCATCTCTCCTGAAAATTGTCGCGTTATTGATTATGTAAAGTATGAAAATGATCAATTATATGGTTTATTTGTGGGGGATTAATTAAAAATTCAGGGGCGAATCTTACGAAATCATTACACCGTATATGGCAAGTCTTTTTAGTAAATAATCAATGATATCGATTTCTCAGTTTGTTAAGGGTTTTCAATTTATTTACTCGAATGAATAATGATTAGGGAGAAGTAAATTGATTTTGTGTTTTTTTATCCATGTGAAATTTTTTGTCTTCAGAAAAATGTTTATTCGGGTGTCATTGTATCACTTTTTTATGTCGGCAATTAAAATGAGTTAAACATATGTTTGCCGTGTCCTACGTTACACGTCCATTCTGCGCCACGTCCAATACATTATTTTATTTTTCGCGCCCGATTTATCAAATAAAGCGAAACGTGTTGATTATCCATTTTACCATATCTGAAATCTTCAATAATAAACTTCTAATTAAGTAATGAGTGGGAATTTCAAAAAATAAATAGATAAAAAGGAACTGTAATCTTATAAAAAAAAATGGTTATAATATTTTCCTTTTATTATTAACAAGATTTAGCATCTGAACAAAAAGGGAGGAAAAGAACGCGATTTCCGAACTTGGTGATCGGGCGTTTATTTTTTTTTCACAACGAAATAAATAATCATTAAATCATAATGGCATATCATTGCTTGAATTATGTGGATTAATCGAAAATCAAATGCTTTGCCTTAAAATATATTTCTTGTAATTAATTAGATTTTAGGAAAAAAAAACTAATAATAGATTGATCAAAAATAAAAAATTAACCTACAAAGGTGAAATAAGTAGTCTACAAATTAGAATAAAAATGTTAAAAAAAGATCATAAAAAAACAAAAAAAGAATCTGATCGTTGCGCGATAATGATTATATTGTCCTGGTTTAATTTGTTAATAAAAAAAAAACCGAAAATTGAATCTTAGAATTGAAATTTAAGAAACGATTAATCACGACAAATTGATTCTAAACTTTTTTTGATTCGATTCTTATCACTGCGAAAGAAGCACAAATTGTCGTAATTTGTCTGTCAAGTATATGACCATTATCATGCGTCATGTCAATAATCTTAAAAAGGTTCAGGAGAATACAAGAAAAAAGAGATTTGATGACCTAATTATATATAGGAAAGAAAAAAAGTTATACTCGAGTGGGTCACTAATTTAGCACTTCATGTCTAAAACTCAGCAATTGAACAGGCTATAAAAGGCAGGATTGCAAGAATGACATTTCATATGCTTTTATTCACAAACAAGTCTTTAGAGAAAGTCATTTATAACCTAGAATTAGGAATTGAATTTTTATTTATTGTGCTTTGAAAATACCTTAAAAATACATGAAATTTTAAAATTATATTTTTAATCCTACAATCTAAATTAGATATTCTCATGCTTTTTAACTATAATTTGTTTTAACCTTCAATTTATTTGACCTGTTTTAAATGCTTACTCCTTTTTATATTAATATAATTTATCATTTGCTAAAAACAAAATTCAATTATTTTTGATAATAATTGATAATTTTAAAGAAAATTATTTACTAGAAATAATAAATCTGTATTGATAATTTTTTAAAACCAAATAAGTTTTTGCAATTAGTATTTATTATACTTAATTTTACTTTAGATTAGAAGCTTAAAATGTTAAATATTATTTTTAAATTTATAAGTTATTTAATTCTTTTTATTGTAAAATAATATTTTACAGATATTAATGTTAATTTTAAAATTAATTATATATATAAAAAAATAATATTTTCAAATATTTTTTTATAAAATTGTAATATTATAAATTTACTATCTAATTATTATAAAAATTTATAAATTGCAATTAATTTATAATATTTTATATATATTTATTTTACTATTAAAATTATTTATAAATTATAAAATATATTATATTTTATGAATTATAATATTTTTTTAGTTTATAATTTAATATATTAATTTTGATATATAGGCAGTTTGCAATAAAAATTAAATAATAATATTTATTTATTATATTTAATAATACTGTAAAATTATTAAAAATTATTAAAAAAATAAAAATAATTATTAAAGTTAAATTTTATAATATATAATATAATGAATTAAATAAAATTATTATTTAATTTAATTTGTAATATTTTTTTATTATTAAAATTATTACTTAGATTGTAAAAAAAAATTCATAATAAATGTAACTGTTTATTTACTAAAAACTTTTTCTGATTTACTTTATAAAATATTAAAATTATTTTTTATTTTTTTATAACAATATATACATTATACATTATACTCTCTTATAAAATGTATCTGACTACTCTAAAAATTAAAAAAACAAATCAGATTTTGATATAATTTTATATTTATTATAACTGATAGTAAAATTTTGCAAAAGTATTTGATTCTCAAAATAAAAAAAATTCTGTTTTTTTAATCAAAACAGTTATAGTAAAATCAATATAAAATATTGATTTCTTAACTAAAGAATAGCTTATGCTCCTAATATTAGAAAAATAAAATCAGTAGTTATTGAGAAATCTGCTTTTAAATATATGAATTTCTTATATAAATCATCATTTTATAATCTTTAAAAGCAGTTTTCTCAACAATTACTGATCCAATCTTTCTGAAATTAGGAATATAAGCTATTCTTTAGATAAGAAATTAATATTTAGTATTTATTTTGCTATAACTATTCTAGTTAAAAAGTTGTGAATTTTACCATTTTGAAATTGAATATTTTCACAAAATTTTACTATTAATTAAGTAAAAAATATTTCTAAATAGTGTCTTATACTTTAAATTTTAAAAATAAAAATAAATTTATTATTTAAAATACTAGATTTTGTCTTTTTGTAATTTTTAGGGTTATCAGATACTTTTTATAAGAGAGTGTATCTTTTGTATCTTTTAATTATATAATAAAAAATTTAAAGTTACTTAAAAGATAAAAATTTTATATCAAAAAATTTATGATTAATTTATAATAATTTTTTTTTAATATTTACTTTTAATAATATTAATTATAATATCAATATTATAGAATTTGTTATAAAAAATACTATTTATTTTTTATAATTTTTATTAAAGATAAAATAATTTAATTAGTATATAAATATATAAATTTTAAAGAATTTTTTAAATTATTTTAAAATTATTAAATTGTAATTTTTATATAATAATATGAGAAAATCAAATTGGCGATCCTGATCGCTGTGACGATTCCATCTGATTAGTCAATTAAATTTAGATTTACATATAAAAACTTTTTATGTTATGCGTTATAATTATATTATAAGTTTTTGTATTACGTATTACAAATTTTAAATTTTACATACATATACATTTAATGCTAATACAAAATTCTTATAATACTAATACTCAGCTCTTTTTTTGACTTTAGCTTCTTTCGAGTCTAAGACATTGGTTAATTCTGAAGGAAAAAAATCTCACATTCCTAAATAATTAGCCAAGTTAATTAATTCTTAAATATTAACAATTTCTATAATGACGAAACTTTTCTATAACAATAATATTGACCTTATTTTTTTAACGTTTTTATTTCAATATGAAAATTGCTATTTAGTAGCAACAGGTTTTTTAAATACCTCATGTCAAATATATCTTCGTAAAGTTCTGTTTTCCTATAATAAGAGAACAAATTAGCTTTATACAATATAGGAGAATTGAGTATCCAAAACAAAAAATTGAAAGCATTACTTGAGTATGATAGCGTAAAAAACTGTTCTGATACAGATAGGTAAGCAATTAAATATCTAAAATTAGTATTATAAATTAGGATATATTTAATAAAAAGAACCATTTTATCTTATAGCAGGGTTGGGAAGTACAGTATTAGTACAATGATTAGTACAGTTAGTACAGTTAGTACATTATAATAATTAATATAAAAGTTAGTACAAGTACAGTACAAGTACAGTGGTAATTTTATCTAGTACATACAAAATTTCCAACCCTGCTTATAGTATATCTGAAGAAATTGTAGATATGGAAAAAGATACGAAAATTTTTATTGGTAAAACTTTTCAAAGTTGGGAACATGTTACCAACTTCATAAAAAGATATGCTGCTATTAAAGGTCACAATGTACGAATTAGTAGTAATGAATAAGATAACAAATAAAGTATTAAAGTGAAGGTATTTGTATCACTATGCTAAAAAAGTTACATCTAAGCAAACAATACAATCAAATGTGTCATCTTGTCGAGTAGAATATCCATGAATAGTTAACATATAAGTTAAAAAAGAAAAGAGTTATTTAGAAATTACAAAATTTAATGATCATCATATTAGTTATGAATGTTAAATTATTCAGAAAAAGTTTAATACAAGGATATGCCGTCTAGAACTTTATAATGCTATTGATAAATTTCATTATGAAGCAATATCAAATGAAGAAGATACTGAATTATTATTAAAAAAGCTTCACGATAAAAAAATTAAAGATCTATCTTCTAAAACATTTATATTGTTTCCTTCTTTGATTTCCCACAAATATTTTTCTATATCTGCTTCTTGCAGATGTTTTCCTATACTAGTATCATGTATTTTTATATGATTTCTAAATGATACACGACGAGAAAAGATTTTTAGACAATAAGGACATTTGATTTTCATGATTGGGTAATTATTTATTTATCTTGATATTTTTCTTAAATTTATTATCTTTAACAAATCGATAGTATATATATTTTTACATGGATCATGCTAATCTGTAAATTAAAATAAATTAAATTAGTTTATTCAATTGATCAAATTAATTCTAATTTTCTTTATTAAAAATTGATTGAGAATTTTTACAATAATCTGATTATGATGAATAATATATAAAATTATATCTAAAAAATGTAAAAAATGATAGAAACAATTATACTGACAAATTAGTATGATTTTATAAAATATGCTGATATTGAATTAATACAATTTTAGAAGCATAAAAAGAAACAATTTCCTTGTTTTTTTTTTCTTTTTTTTTTCAGTTCCTCTTCTTTTATTCAATATTAAATTAGGTTACTTTCTCTTTGATTAAAAATTATTCAATTGTTCTCAACATTCTTGGAATTTAATTCAATATACATACTAACTAACAAAATGAGAAGCTGTGGTAAAAATCATCGGTCAAACACTTCACGTAATAATTTCAATTTACAACATTCCCGTCCAAAATGAAAGGTTTATCTGTACTTTTATTATTTTTTATATTTATTCGTTATATATTTATCTTATAATGAAATACTAATATAATATTATCTATTGTATTAGGCGACTGAAAAATAACATACTTTTATTTATTAATACATTTCACTATTTATATTGACTTTCGTATTAATTTGTTTATTTGTTAACTGAAATTAGCTGACGAAGATGGATTTAAGGACAAAATGACTCTGACATCATCATGATCATTCACCTCAACCCAATCATCACCTTCAGCTAAAGACACTTTCAAGTCTCATTCAACATCTCAATAGCGAAAAAGATTACATCTTAATGAGAATAACTTATCTTTACCACTAGTATCTGATAATCCACAACTATCAATACCTAGAGTTCTGATTGAGACTGATGATATAGCTTCTGATTCAATGGTTAGTAAATTATATTTATTTTACTTATTAAATTCATTTTATCATATTTTTTTAAAAAAAAAATAAAATTAGTAATCCTATATTCGAGGTAATAAAGAGACTAGTGGATATTCCGGTTTGTCATTTTATATATATTATGTATCTTTTTTTTTGCTTGTTAATTAAATTCATATTAGCTGTTAATAAACAAACTTTGAGCAAAATCCTTGAAGTTGAGCAAAAAAACACCGCACTTTAAGAGAGATTACCCAGAAACAATTGAGATTGAAAGAAACAATTGAAAATAGATTCAATAATGTTATTGATACTATTACAAGTTTAAAAGAACAACAATCAGCTCTTAGCGAGATAGACCAAAAGGAAAAAAAAATTGAACCTTTCTTTAAAGTATATTTTTTTATTGTTATCATTTATTTTTTCATTTGAATAATAATCAACTATAATACTAATTAATATTATTGTTATAGGGGTCGGTTAAACAACTTTCTTATAAATTGTTTCACAATCATAAAACAGTGTCAGACGAAGAAATAAAAGAAATGCTCAAGGGGTTTTAGAAAATGACAAATCATGTGATGTAAAATTGAAAGAACTGGAGAAGAAGGGTGTTTCATATGATAGATTGTGAAATAAAGCTTTGTGCTTGGATGTAAGTGTATTCTTACATTAATTAATGTATTCATTAATATTTTTTGTTTTGTTATTTTACTATTTTGTAGCTACTTGGGAGAAATAGGATAAAAAAAGGATATTATATGGCGGGTTAAAGAAAGCTTGTGGTCAACTTTTGGAATTCACCGAATCAAGCCTTTTAATGAAAATTATACGAGAGAACAAATGAAATAATGGAAAATCAATAGCGATGTTAGAAAAGTTTATGAAGACTTATATTCTTCAGTTGATTCAGACAACACTTATTTATCGTTAATCATCAAAAAGGTTTTATTTCTGAAGACGAGCAAATGAGAAAAAACGTGATATGGTATTAAGCTATACTAGAAATTATCTTCAATGAAATTACTTATCATCTAAAATAGAAACTGATACTATTGATAAATGGTATTCAAAACTCATTAAGGTAATTTTCTTATTTTTTATTTTTTTTTATTATTGTTTTAGCAATTTTACTATTGCCTGTATTTTTAATTATTATTATAGGATGAAGAAGAAGCAGATTCTGAAAAAAATAATATTGAAGAAGGAAACGATCAATGAGAATTGGTTTTTTATTTTCATTTTAGCTTTTCTGTTTTAATTTTCGTTATTTTTAGTTAGCTTATTTATAAATATAACCATATTTTTGATTAGTAGCAAATATAAATACAAAATACATGTCAATTAATAAATGTATTTTAATGTGTTAACTATTATATATGATATGTATTGTTTAATAGTAAATGCCATTTTATGATAAGTATTAGTTGATATAATATCAGTGTTAGTTGATATAAGGTTATGTTACCCTACATTTTAACATGCTGAACAACTCTAGTGTTAATTGATACGAAGTTCAACATCCCCAAAAACTTACTGATGAAGAGATCCACAAAATTATTCCTACCATTAGTTGTTGTAGCCTAATGGTCTCCAATAGTTGCAGAAATTCTATCAAATCAGTCTGCGACTGCTCCTTTCATATGTCCCTCAACAATAACATTTTTCTTAGCTTCTGTAGTCCATCAATTAGTGATTAATGCTCGTTCAAAGGAAGTAAGCCACTCACTTGTGTCTTCATTCTCATTTCCATGAAAATAATCGACCTTAATAGTAAGTTCTTCTTCATGTAATTATGCTCTGCCTACTCTGAAAATTCCTTCTAAAGCTTCTCTTATTTGATCTCCTGTTGCTGCCATTATACATGAAGTCGAAATGGATCATTTCGGATATCCGAAATGGTCGAAATGGTCGAAATCATTTCGACCATTGAA